GCATGGTTGACGCAAGAGTTGCTGACGAACCCGCCTTTTCCTACTACACATGGGAATAAAGTGGCTCCTTAAACACACAATGGCTTTGTTCCACCGAGTGCACAAATTTGTTCTACTCATTGAACATGTCAGTAGATACTTAACCTCACTTCGTCAATCAAAAACAAGAAAAATGTTAGTGTAGTGAATTCAACTGCGACATCGGCCCATTGGGCAATAAATCAATTCAATAAGAACAAACGACGGACAGCAACATATTTTTAGTTGTAATTCAATATTCTTTATTGTGACTTCTCTGATTTACTGTTGACATAGAAGTGATTAAGCGAATGAAAGACTTGAAGCATGAAAGGTAGAACACGAGTGAAAGTAAGAATGTCTTGAGTGTGTTAGTTTAAAAGTATGAATGAGCTAAAATGAGTGGTATGGTAATGAGTAATTATTGTATGAGTTATGAATATGAGCAGTTATCACCTCATTATCCCCCCCATTGGAACAAATTTGTCCCCAAATTTACTTTAGCAAGAGAGAAAGAAGAGGGTATGAAAAATTAGAAAAGATAGATAGAAGATTACAGATGATATAGCTGAGTTTACAATTGTTTGGTTTTACAATTTTCTGCTTAACCATAAGTTAACATTTCATAAATTTCATTTCATAATCTCAATTTCATGTTCAAATACAAATAATGATTTTTCTATTTTGATATTCAGATAGGAAAATGTGAATTGAATTTTTTATTCAAATATAATATTTTTAGATGAATTCGCTATGGCTTATTTTGTCCCTCTTAGTATTTGAGTATAAAGGTTTTTTTAGTTTTTTGTTAGAAAATTCTCAAGCATTTTTCTTCAAAACTTAATTACTAAATATAATTCTGGCTGCGCTACTTTTGGCGTCTTAAGCCGTATTCAAGACTGCGCGACGATTGGCGGCTTAGGTCAAAATGGGAGTCTGTGTGCTCCGAAGGCTGCGCTACTATTGGCGTCAGGCTTCAACAATATCAAATGGTTGTGGTACTTTCTTCACGATAATACAAAAAAAAAACGTTAATATCAACCCGTTGGGATTAGCGTGTTATGCCATGAACAATATTATATGTACGCGAGAATGACGTCGCTTTTCAATGCAGATTCGATTTACTGATTTTCTCCATAAAATGCTATAATTACAGCTGATTTAAATTCTACTCCATTTCAGTTAATAAAAAAAAGTACAAATTACATCATTCGCTCAATCAAAAATTGAAAACATTCGATTCATTTACTTAAAGGTTCAGTTATTATTTGCTTCAGAAATTCGCAATTCAAACAAAAATAATGATTACGATTGCTTTTTTTTTCCATTGAATTGTATGACAAAGGAAACGTTCTCTATCTTTTTTTTTTCTTCGATTCAAAAACAACAACAGTATTTTTCTTATGCGCTGATTTGCAAAATACTTTTCGATTTAAACCAAAGCAAAAACATTTTTTTTTCTTCAGAATTGTTAATGTGAAATACGAATTGGAATTTGGAATTGGACTATTGATCTCTATATGCGGTTCAAAAAATGTGACCAAATACGTGTGTTAGCGAATTTCGGAGGAAAGAAATTTTAATATACAAATCTGATGTATGTGTACCTCCTTGCACGTGCAACCAAAGTTCATTCAAAATTGACAACTATTATTTTATTTGCGTGTGCAATTTTTTATACGAGATTACTTGCGATTTTCATGCGCATGCAGTAGTTTTTATTGAATTTCAATTTGTTTTTTTTGTGATTTTACTTATTATGAGGAAAATAGTAGCTCAATTTTGTGCCCCCATTGAATATTTTTTGTGCTTTTAACCAAAATTTTACATGCATAGGCATCGAATGTTGGCTTTTCAATATTTCAGTTGTTCAGATTTAAAAATGTATGCACGTTTTGATGAAAGTTATTTTGAAAAGTGTAAGAGAAAAATAGAGATTCTTTACAAGTTGCAATCAATGTTGTATCAAAATTGGGTCTCATTGTTTTATGTAGGTAACAAATTAACGTTTCTGGAAAAATTCTTTCTGTTCATACATTTCAAAAGGGTTTCTTTTTGTGGTTTGAATAGCAAATCAATATCCGTTGTACAATTTACGATCTTTTCTTCAAATTTTTACAAGAGTTTTTTTTCCATTGATAAAACAAACTTTTTTCTATATTTCCAATTATACTTCATAGAAGATGAAGCAACTATGTTTTTCACAAATTGATTGATTTCACATATTTTTGAAGTCCATTTCTTCTCGTTTACAATTTTATTTTCATTCAACGCAGTAATTTTGGAAATTGATCTTTTTTTATACGCTTTTTCATAATACGCTTGTTTTACTCTTTTCACTCTGAAGATTGGAAAGAATTTACGTGGTTTTATATATTTTCCAAGCGACTTATTGATCAAAGAAAAATGTGAATAACTTATTTTCGATGCTTCAAAAACAGCTTTGCTAATGATTTCTTTAATTTCACGGAAATTTTTGCACAGATTTTCGTCACTATCTATTTGAAGAATTTTTTCCCGGATCAAGCTGCGTGTAGACTTTTCCAAGTTTCGGAGTTTCTCGACATTCCGGTCAAGAACGTAGTCGAACCGCTGATGGCCATTTCGGAGCCTTTCCCATAGTTGATCATTTTTTTGATTGAAGTTGTTGTAGATCGTTGTTGCCTTCTTCTTGTAATTCAGGAATACGGCTATTTGTAGCGAAATGAATCTACGTTTCCATATTTCATCACATAGTCGGTCCCAAAGTTCCATTGTCAGCAGTCTGGCTTTTTCAAGTTCTTCCGGTGTGATAGCGCAGTTTTCGAGTTCAAAGGTTCTGTATCCTTTCAGTCGGTCGCAGATTTCAATGATTTTCGTAGAATAACGTTTCACAGACGTTTTGACTTTTTTGAGTTTTTCCAGAGAAATTTCTTCGAAATTCCATAATAACATCTGACTGGTGCAATACTGAATTCGATGAATTTGTTCGAGTCCATCTTTAGCAAATTGGTCGTTTTCGCTGATTCGTCTTTTTTCTTCTGGTGTTATTATATTTGAGGCTTGTGACGATATTGATGGATAAATCTCTCCTTGTAAAGCGATTTTGAGCGTTTCATTTTCGATGTTTTTTTCCATTTTT